ACACACACACACCCTGAACAAGCTACTCTCTTTCTCTTTCCAATTCCCTTTCAGCACTTCTGATTACTGCAGGAGAAAGTCTCAATTTGCTGCCGGAAATCCTTTAACACCTATCTATGCTTATCTTTTTGGTCCTTCCTCCTTTTTTTTTTTGAGATGGAGTCTTGCTTTGTCGCCCAGGCTGGAATACAATGGGGCAATCTCGGCTCACTGCAATCTCCACCTCCTGGGTTGAACTGATTCTTCTGACTCGACCTCCCGAGTAGCTGGGACTACAGGTACACGCCACCATGCCTGGTTAATTTTTATACTTTTAGTGGAGATGGGGTTTCACCATATTGGCCAGGCTGGTCTCGAACCCTCGACCTTAGTTTATCTGCCCCCCTCAGCCTCCCAGAGTGCTGGGATTACAGACATGAGCCACTGTGCCGGACCTGATCTTTCTTTTTTTAACAAGGAGAGAGCCAGCCTTGAGTTCAGAATGAGCAGCTGCCGATAGTATCTAGCTAGAATGTTTTAAAATGTGTTTTCATTTTTGTATTTTTTGTTACCTTCTGTTTATCACAGGTGGTACTGGTTTTCTACTTTCCAGAGTGATAAAAAGTTTCCTTTTGAAGTACATGGTAGCTGCAGTCGCTCTCTCCTGTAATCCCCGCACTTTGGGAGGCCAAGGCACGCAGATCACCTGAGGTCAGGAGTTTGAGACGAGCCTGGGCAACATGATGAAACCCTGTCTTTACTAAAAAAATACAAACAATTAGCCAAGTGTGTGGTGGCGGGCACCTGTAATCCCAGCTACTTGGAAGGCTGAGGCAGGAGAATCACGGCAATGGCTTGAACCCAGGAGGCGGAGGTTGCAGTGAGCCGAGATAGCACCATTGCCCTCCAGCCTGGCGCAACAAGAGCGAAACTTCGTCTCCAAATGAAAGAAAATAAAGTACATGTTAGTTTAGCACAGTGGCTCATGCTGTAATCCCTAGCACTCCTGGGACGCGAGGCAGCGCAGATCACTTGAGGTCAGGAGTTCGAGACCACCCTGGCCAACATGTGAAACCCCCGTCTCCACTTAAAAATATAAAAACTTAGCCAGTGGTGTGTGGCACACACCTGTAACCCAGCTACTCGAGAGGCTGAGGCAGGAGAATTGCTTGAACCTGGGAGCGCGAGGCTGCAGTGAGCCGAGATTACAGCTACACACTATTAGCTGGCAGACAGATTAAAAAAAAAAAAAAGACATGGTTAGGTCATGCTAACCATGGTGGCTCACGCCTGTAATCCCAGCACTTTGGAGGCCAAGGTGGGAGGATCAGGCGTATTGCTTGAATGGAGCTCAGGTTTGAGACAAGCATGAGCCAACATGGCGAAACCCTGTCTCCACCAAAAATACAAAAAATTACGCCATGCATGATAGTGGCGTGCCTGCGTGTCCCCAGCCACGCTAACTTACGGAGGCTACTCGGGAGCTGGAAGGCAGGAGGCACATTTGACGCCTGGCAAACAGAGGTTGCAGGGAGCTGAGATGGCACCACTGCTTTCCAGCCTGGACAACGGAGTGACAACCCCATCTCAAAAAAATAATACATGATGAAAAGAAAAAAAAAAACCCCACAGCCGGCTCTCTGAAAATCACATGACTTGGTCAATCACCTACTTGTGCCACTTTTTCTACCCTCATGGACCTTTGACAAGTGCACCACAACCTCTCGTGCCTCCAATTTCCTGCCGCTGAAGACAGTGACTGCAGAGTGTCGTTCGACCTGACACAGTGACTTTTGGTGCTATAATCCAGCACGCTTGCGGAGGCCCAACGTAGGGAAATGCGTGAGGCCCCAGCGAGTTTGGAGACCTGAACCCAGGCCAAGCAACATCCGCGACGACCCCCCATCTGTGAAACAAACATTTTTAATACAAACTAAGCTGGCAGTTGCATGAATCCTGAGAGCCTGGATGCCCACCACTATGGGAGCTGAGGTCAACAGGGAGGATCCCCATGAGCACAGGAGTTTGAGTTACCAGTGAGCTAATGATTCCAGTGTTACTGCGCCATCACAGGGAGACAAAAGAAGACCCTCCTCAAAAACAAAGACAAAACAAAAAACCAGTAACGCTCCCCCAAAGATATTATGGACGATTTGTATTAGTTAATATATGCTAACAGGCGCTAGAATTGCTGCCGGGGTATTTAGTAAACCACTGCTCTCTAAATCGTTTGCTTTTTTTTTTTATTTTTCCTTTCTGGAGACGCGAGAGTTTACTCTGTCACAAAAGACTAGGGACGCAGTTGACGACATCTCGGCTCACTGCACTACCTCCGCACTTTCAGTTTCAAAGGATTCTCCTGCCTCAGCCTCCCAACCTGGCGACTAACAGGCGCATCCCACCCGTGCCCGGCTAATTCTTTTTTTTTTTTTTGATGACGCGAGTCTCGCTCTGTCGCCCCGGTGCTGGACGTGAGTGGCTGGATCCTCAGTTCACTGCAAGCTCCGCCCTCCGGGTTTACACCATTCTCCTGCCTTTACCTCCAGTAAGCTGGGACTACAAGGCAACCCGCCACCGTCCCCACGCGCTGTTTTTTTTTTTTTTTTTTGTATTGTTATTTAGTGGAGCCAAGGGTTTCCACATGTTCGGTCCGGCTGGGCTCCAACACTCCTGACCTCCATGATCCCACGCCACCTAAG